CACCCAGCACTCTTCCCTGCCTATGCAGGGGGTCAGACTCGATGATCTCAAGCAAATCCCGGGACGTCTCAAGCAAATCCCGGGACGTCTCTCAAGCAAATCCCGGGACGTCATTCTCCCCCTGTACTCGGCCTTAGTGAGGCCGCAGCTGGAGTACTGTGTCCAGTTTTGGGCTCCACAATTCAAAAAGGATGTGGAGAAGCTTGAGAGAGTCCAGAGAAGAGCCACGCGCATGATCAGAGGTCAGGGAAGCAGACCCTACGATGACAGGCTGAGAGCCCTGGGGCTCTTTAGCCTGAAAAAGCGCAGGCTCAGGGGTGATCTGATGGCCACCTACAAGTTTATCAGGGGTGACCACCAGCATCTGGGGGAACGTTTGTTCACCAGAGCGCCCCAAGGGATGATGAGGTTGAATGGTCACAAACTACTTCAAGATCGTTTCAGGCTGGACATAAGGAAGAACTTCTTTACTGTCCGAGCCCCCAAGGTCTGGAACAGCCTGCCACCGGAGGTGGTTCAAGCGCCTTCATTGAACACCTTCAAGATGAAACTGGATGCATATCTTGCTGGGATCCTATGACCCCAGCTGACTTCCTGCCCTTTGGGCGGGGGGCTGGACTCGATGATCTTCCGAGGTCCCTTCCAGCCCTGATGTCTATGAAATCTATGAAATTCAATTTTCATAGTCTAGTCTAAACTGCGTAAATTAAACCAATAAGCAAGTGAACAGACATTCACTTGATTCCAGAAATGCAGCCATATGCCTGCAGTGGCTCACGCCAGAAGCCGGGAGGCACTAGAACACGCTTCCCTGCTCAGCTGGAGCATGCAGCTTGGGCCAAGGCTAGCCCACCCACCCTGCGAGGCGGGGTTTGCAGGGAAGAGGAGGTGCAAAGCATCCTGAGATGTTGGGGGACAGAGTTAACTTGAATCTGGAGGGAATCAGGGATAGAAGTTCAGTAAACTGATTTAACCTAAATCAGTTAGGTCTGATACTTATCTTAAACCTGTTTCAGTCATTTTGCAAGTGGTTTATGTGCACCGAACTTCTCTTGTGTTACAGATCCAAACCTGTTTCTGAACATTTATATACCAGTTTTAATGTTAACTTTTGTCCCTAGCCTTGGGTAACATTAAATATGTTTAAGTCATTTTGCAAAGAACGTCTTTGAGGGATTGTTAATCTGATGTTAAAATTAACAAATGTAAAGATTTGCAGTTTATAACAGAACAGTATTTAAATTAAGAAAAAAATTATCCTTTAAAAATATATTTGTTAGTACCCTATCAATGTCTGCAAGGCTCTTTTCTGAAAAGTAAATGATGAAGTAAACCTATGTAGCACTCACAGGTACAGTAGGGTGCACAATCTTCAAGTAAAACGATTTTTTCAAGTGGGTGGTTTTACTTAAAAAAATAAATAAATAAGAACAACATAAAATATTCAGTGCTATGGGAAGCTTCATTTTGTTTATTAAAACAAATGTGACAGATATAACAGCTGCTAAAACCAGTACTAATAAGCACCTTAAATTAATTTCTAGTGGCAGCAATAATATGCAGAAGCAATTATTAGAATGCCTGCAGGAGTACAATACTTGATTAGCTATACCCAGCAGGATCTGGGTAGTAGGTACACTTTATTGCTACTAAGATTCCAATAGTTTTTATTTTTCAGGGAAAAATATTATCCCAGCTTACTTATGCTCCATGGCTCAACTTTTAGATCAGTCAATTCCACCACTAGCGTATGTTAACTATTAGACTGAGAAGAGTAATAGAGAAGAGGAAACTGAGCTCTTTGAAGTGATATGCTCTAAATCTACAAAGAGTTTCTTTGTTTTCCTACCAGCTTAATGGTTGTGGCACTTCAATTTTCTGACCATCCACTACTAGGTCCTGCAGCTCCTTGAAATACTTGTTCTTCAAGCAGTGGAGAATTTCATTTGCATGGCTACGGAAAGAAAAAAGCCTATGTATGAAAATAGTCAAGTTTCAGGCCAACGCAGAACACTTACCTGTTAAAACAAACAAACAAACAAGAAAAATCAACCTGAAAGACAGGACCCTGTCCCAACTAATGTCATCAACAAAAACCAATGCCACTTTTATTAATGTTTGATAAGCTTATAAATAACTGAAAACAGGTTCTTACAATGGGAAGTGCTAGGCAGCCTTAATAAGGGATAATAACCATTCTACCTATAATAAAGTGCACCTCCACATTGTTTTTCTTTATTAAATAATGTATCTAGCTTGTATCTAGCTCCCCCTTCAACATGCAACTTTCCTAAATGTAAGACAAGAATTCCAAGTATATCGTGCTTTTGCTTTGCAATGTACTAGTTAGGTTATATTCAAAATATAACTTTGCTTGGGTTCTGCAACTTGTATAAAGTGGTGTTAATATGGAGAAAGTACAGGATGGGTGAATAAAAAATATATATGGGCTAAATAAGGAAATATGCAAGGAGAGAAATAAAATTGAGATTTGAGCCAAGATCATAAGACAAACATATTTAAGTGCTCTTCAGTGGGCACAACCAGAGGAGGGGCACTTGATGGTCAAAAGCTTGTCCAACAGTTCTCCTAACTAAACACTTGGTCCCATAAAAGATCTCATAAAAAAGCCTTGCCTCTTGGGTATTTCCTGGACTATCATGGCTGCAACAACACTCCAGCCCTAAATATTAAAACTAATTCAGGGTAACTTTAAAGCTTGAAATTTTCTTAAATCATTGGATGCAAGTGAGCTAGTGTATGAAGGTTAACTCAGTGTTATTTAGAAACATTAATTGTGGAAACTTATTTTCACTTGTTACTTCTGAAATGGAGAAAGTGGTGACCACTTAAAATGGACTTCCATTGAAATCAGTGACATGTTGAAATCTAGTTGATAGGGTAAAGTTTAATTAATAGAAGTTAGTGTTCAAAATGTTCATGCTGCATTTCTGCCTCAGCTGAATTTTGTGGGAACATTTCAACCAATGTTTCAGCTGTTTCCAAGAAGAAAAATCTGACAACCACTTTGTGTTGAAAAGCTCAATGGGCACGTACTTGGAAGTACAGACCTGAAATACAGTAAAGGCCTGTGGACCAGGATCATGCATTCTTCTGTTCCTACAAAAACTTGCCAAACTAGTGAAGTTACAGACCAGGGCCATCCAACTGCAGCCTGCAAGGTGTTAAAATGCAGCCCACAAGCTCCTGTACTTACTTCCCTCAGCACTCCAGCTGCAGCCACGAAGGCCTCTGGGATTTACCTCTCACTCCGGCTTCATCTTCTTGCTCCAACCCCTATGTGTATGGCATCACAGGGCCCAGGATACCATAATATCCTGGCCACTCAGAAACTGGACAGCCCTGTCATATACCACTGGGAGGATGAAGCAGAATTGCGATTTGCACATGTTCAGACTTGTAGATTTTAGCCACTAAATTTTAATGAAGGTTTTGAGCAAACTGAGCTCGCTCTGTCCCCTCAGAGCTTCTCCACATAACCAACCTTCACATATCATCCCCTCAGATCAGGTGGGCATACTCCAGCCCAGGGCTGCAAAACTAGGCAGGCACAGGAACAGAGGTCAGGTGACTTTTCTCCCCTGTATTTTCAAAAGCACCATTTCCACCAATCAGGCAACACAGAGAAGAAAACAACCTGACTTGAATGATTAGCTGAAAAGAACCAGATTGGAACAAGAAAGGGAACGAGGAGAAAGTCTGACTGCGATGTAAGCGTGGGAGGAGGAGGAGGACAACGACGACTAGGATAAAGCATGGGATGGAGAAGGGGAGGACTGGCTGGTACAAGGCACTGAAATAAGAGAAGTCAAAGAAGTGGAGACTTGGGGCAGGTAGACCAGGAGAATACAAATGAAATGAGGAGCCAGGAAGAAAGAAGAGACCAGGGTGGGAACAAAGGATGAGGCAGAAAGGTGTATCCCTAAAGCAGGATCCCTCCCTTACAGCCTACGATGGAACCCAACTGTCACCATTCCTTTGCCACCAGCAAACAGCTGTGAAATGCACTGGTAACCTGTCTTATCCCCTTTTAGCCCTTCTGCAAGTGAGGCAATAGTTCACTACTGCTTCCATTTATATCCCTATGTCCAAGGCAGGCATTTCAGTGGTGGATCTAAAGGTACCAACCCTGCTGTGGGATTGTGAAGCTCTCATCCAGATGCCACGTGATGAAATTCCTGTTTTCCCCTACCCCATAACTTCTTTGAAGATGAGACTGCACAAGCCCCCCACTATCTTACAAAGAAAAAAAGCTGTAAGGTCAAGCACTCAAAAACCCCTGTCAAAAAAACAGAAAAAGTTGGCATAAAGGAGATCCATGCAATTTTGATTCAGCCCCTGTATGCATATCAGTATATTACAACTTTTACTCGTACAGCATTTTTGAGAAAGTAATTTTTTGAAATGTTCGCAAGATGCTTATATATGATAAGCACAGCACAAAAGTTGGAGACAAAATTTCTAATTCTGTCATCAGATCACAGTTTGAGCAGCATGCCTTACATAAGATATTGGAGGGGACGGGACACGTACTGAAAGATAAGAACGAGTAAAATAAACTCCTGCTCATCAAGTAAACAACATGCTTCCAACGCAGTGAGGCAGGGATCTTGTGGAAAATGCAGTACATGACCCTGTAATTCCTATGGAAGGGAAATAAACTACTTCGACTGGGAATATCAAGTATGTCTACATGGAAACATCAGTCGTTTTAACTACACAATGCCTCTGCAGATCTATACTGGCAAAGTCTGGCTAGCACAGGGAATAACAGCAATGAAAACACAGTTGCAGAGCTTCATGCTTAGGTGTCAGTCAAAGTATAAGCCCTTCAAGCACCCTGGACCAACACTGGTTTCTGACACATACTGAATCGGATGCTGCTGTGTCTTTGCTATTACTGTTACCCATGTTAACTATATTACATGAACCCAGCTTTGCAGAGGGTTTCATTTTGTTGCAAGGATGTGCCTTTACTGAGAATGTTTTCTTTCTCTGCAATATTCACCTTGACAACCTTCTTTCTGACTCTTGAAAGAAAATGAAAGACAGTTTAAGAGAGCAACACTCAACCTTCTAACCCCATAGGCCAGATAAGTGACGTGGGGCTGCTCTGCAGGCCATGGGGTGACCCACATGCGCTGGCTTCAGCCTGGAGGCTGGAGGTTGAACACGGCCAGACTAAGAATTTAGTTTTTCTCCAGAAAAAAACAAATACATCAATAGACATAGGATGTAAACAAAATAAACAGATGCTAGGACAAAGGTCAGCAAATCCCAGCGCACGTGCTACAGTGGCATGTGAGGCCATTTTGCTCAACACATCACAGCCGACTCAGGCTCTGGGCAACTGCCACCAGCCACAGAGCCTTACCTGTTTGCAGGAGGCAGCAGGGAGGCTGCAAATAGCTCGGGCTCCACGACAGGCAGCAGCTGTCCAGAGCCTGGGCTGGCTGTGACAGGTAGCCAGAAAGCTGCAACCAGCACACCAGGGCCCAGAGCCCCGGCCCAGCACCATGGTGGCAGCAGCTGCACACATGTTTTGGGGCAGAGAGCAGAGAAGGAGCCAGGGGTAGCGCAGCCTAGAGGGAAAAGCAGCCCCAGATGTGTGAGCTTTAGGATTAGTGACAGAGGTGTGCAAAATGAAGAGCCAGATAGTAAGACAATTGTTAGACTTAAGGATCCTGGCTCAACTGCGGACCCAAGGAAGGTGGTGGGGAGGCAAGGGGTGTGGATGGGGCTGGCCAGGGCAACAGGCACATGTCCCAGCTTTGCCAGAGCTCATGTCTTCACCTGTTTTTGTCTTGTAGGAAGGGGAATGCAACCAAGGAGAACGCTTTTCCACCTGCTTTGCTCTTATTTGTGGGGGGATGGGGAAGACTGAGGGGACGGGACATGCACCAGCCGGCAGGGAACAGATCCACTCCAAGGCTGAGGCTGCTGCAACTCTCAAGCTGAAGCAACAGTTCTGAGAAGGCATTAAGATGCATGGGTGAAATGATTGTGGGGGGAGGATGTAAGAGGGAAACACAGCTGGAGGGGCTGGAGGAAGCCAGGGCTGGGGGAAGAGGAGGAAGAGAGAAGCCAGAGGGAGTACAGGATCAGTAAGACCAGCCATGGGCACCGGGGTCAGGGGAAACAGGAGCAGGGGATGCAGTTTCCCAGCTGCACTCCACCTGTTCCTCCTGGCTTGGAAATCTGTGGGAGTCACCACTATGACTGCTGCCAGAATACACCAAACTATGGGATGCAGTAAACACACTAGAGGATAGGGAGTGAATTCAGGAGGATTTAGATAGACTGGGGAAGTGAGTGGATCAGAATAGGATTGAATTTAACAGAGATACGTGCGAAGTGCTGCACCTGGGGAGAACAAAAAAATCACTAATACACCTATAGACTGGGAAGTACCATTTTAAGTAGCGCAGCAGTGGAAAGGGATCTCGGAGTCGTAGTCGACGCACAAATGAACATGAGTCACCAATGTGACAAGGTAACAAAATTAACCGCACTCTTGCCTGCATTAGTAGGTGCATCACAAGCAGGTCTAGGGAGGTGATACTTCTCCTCTACGTGGCACTGGTGAGGTGGCAGCTGGAGTACTGCATCCAGTTTTGGGTGCCACACTTCAAGAAGGATGTGGATAATCTGGAAAGGGTTCAGAGAAGGGCTACTCATATGGTTGAGGGCCTGCAGGTAAGATCCTTTGAAGACAGACTGAGGGACCTTAATCTCTTCAACCTCCACAAGACAAGGCTGAGAAGTGATCTCATGGCTGTCTACAAACTCATTGGGAGGGGGGAAAAGAGGGTGGGGGTCAGCAGGGAACAGCGGATACTCTGTTTACCAGGGCGCCCCTCAGGGTTACTAGAAAAAAGAGCCATAAACTGAAGCAGAGTAGATTTAGATTGGATATCAGGAAGAATTTCTTTATGGTGAGGATTGCCGAAATATGGAATGGGCTTCCAAGGGAGATGGTGCTTTCCCCTACCTTGGAGGCATTCAAAAAGAGATTAGACAAGCACCTGGCTGGGGTTACTTGACCCTAGTGCTATTTCCTGCCCAGAGCAGGGGGTCAGACTCGATGATCTAATAGGTCCCTTCCGACCTTAGAAATCTATGAAAGGGCGACACCCCCCACCCGAAGACTTCCTCATGAGGGAAGCCCAAAGGCATAGCTGCCCACTGCAGGAGAAAATGTGGAGGTAGTCCCTGTTGCACAGGCCTGGGCAGGAAGACACGGAACTTGGACAAGACTCGACCCCTGGTATGTCACCCCCTCCCCCCGGAATCCGCACCCTCTCTCCCCAGGCGGTGCCCTTCCTGCCCCTCCCTACCGCCACCCATGTCTTCAGCAGAGCAGGGTCTCAGTGCTCTCTGTCTCCTTGCAGCGCCATGGGCTGGCTATGTGCTTAGTGCTCACCACCATGTCCACCCAAGCTCTTTGGCAGGTGGCAAGAGCCTGCCTGGGCTGCTTGCAGAGGGCAGCTGCAAGGCTGCACCGGGTCTAGTCCAAAGCCCTGGCCCAACTTGTTGCCAGCAGTGGCTGCATGTGCACCTCAAGGCCCATGGCAGAGAAGGGGCCAGGGCTGTGCTGACACAACAAGAATCACGCTACTCACAGCTCCCATGCCATCTGCCCCCAGCACAGCAACATCTTCCAGCTTCCCTTAGCCTGCCTGGAGACAAACAGCAACAGTGCCTATACTTCCCTGTGGTACAACGTCAGCATTGTGAATGGGGCACATTCTGCTTCCTGACAGAGGGGCCAGCAAGCACTGCAGAGAATAAGGATGCTGGAGGACAATGCTGGAGGACAATGCTCTCTTCCAAGAATGGCATGTCCATTCTCTCTCCCAGAACTGATTTAACCCTAGTTGGTCCCCAGATTGCTTCTCCCTGGTTCCTGCCACACACTCAAATATAGGTCAGAAACCACCTAGAGAGACATTACACCAGCGGTCACCAACCAGTGGATCTCAATCCACCGGTACATCTGGGAGCCTCTTGCAGTACATCCGAGGCTGGGGTGGGGGGCTGAGTGCCCACGTGCATGCATGTGTACGCCCCAGCCCAGCAGGTCAGTCCATGGGGGAGGGAAGGGGCAGGAGCTAGATCGAGGCCCCAGCAGAGAGGGTCAGTACCATGGAAACAGAAGCAGGAGTAACTTGAGTGGAACCCTGGCTGGGTGGGACAGCTGCTGGGGAGGCATGCCCCCAGATAATTTTTTCTCCCTCTGCCTTGGTATGTGCCCCCCTTCCCTCCCCACAGACTTACCTAATGGGCTGGGGGGGGAGGAGAGAGGGGTAGGGGAGTGGCAGCAGCACAGGGTAGCTCTTGGGTTGCTTTTAAATGCCAGAGGCGATCTCCTACTGAAAAAGGCTGGAGACCACTGGACTATACTGCTCAGCCTGTTGGGGACTAAGAAAAAACGCTGGACCTCTTGCAGTACACCTTTTCAAGCACTAGTTTTTATGACCAAGGGGCAGTTCTTATAGCTGGAGAGATGTTTTCATAGCATGACAGCAACTCAGTCTAAAAGCCGATGGCGCAAAATGCCAGCAAATCATGCAGTATGAGTGACGTGCAGCAGGGGCTACTACTGTCCCCCTAGGAGAGTAAACCTGTGCGCGTCTGCCCACATGCATGGACAGCAGCCACTCTCCCAGGACAAACCGAGACCATGGGGAGAAGGCCCAACACCAACCCCCACCCCCGAGCGACAGGGGACCACGTGCCCTTCTGCCCCTCACAGCAGGTCACTCGGACTCAGGCCCGCGCCCCGCTCACCTCTTGTAGCCTGTGATTCGGAAGGTGGCGGGGAGC